TATATATATATATTAGAAGACTTTTCAATAACTTTGGGTAACTTATACTCCTTCCCACTGTCACTACTGTAGGGTTATTTAAAATAGTCTTTGCTTTGATGAATAAAATGTTTTCCACAGAGTTTCTTTGTGGACGAATCCATGGTAGTTATGTAACTGCAGTCACGTGATAAAAGTATAGTAAGTATCAAAATGTTACCTACTTTAACTTGTTACTATTGTGTGATAATTGTTTTTTTTTTCTCCCTTTTTTTCTTTTTCAGCGGAATATTTTAAGCGTTTCCGTAACATAATCCATGAAATCCAATAGAATGTACACTCTTATTTATGACTAAGCTGACATCAATTTAAAAATTAGCAACTCTCATTAGTTAATAAAACAAAAATACTACTAAGTTCCTGAGATGGCTGGATGTGTTGTAATAAAAAGTTTAGCAATCATAAATCATGATAGCTGACAGAAAAAATAATGTTTTTATCATGTTTTTCAATTCTAATTTTTTTGTTTGTTTAAATATGTCAAATATTTTTTTGTTGTTGCTAATTTGCTGCAGAAGAGGTTGCAATAGTCTAACATGGGAAGTTTATTCAATTTCCGTTTTTTAAAAAAAAATTGAGAGGTTCAAAGAGGACTGATCGTAAGGACACGGTTCCCAGTACAACACCGAAGTCAAGAATAAGCACTTTGATCAGCCTGTATAGGGACCGAGGATGCGCGGTATCGGTCTTCGTTAAACTGTTCTATCGTAAAGTGCTCGACTTCGCTTGCAGGAAATCGGGCTACCAAAGCAAGGGAGCCATCCCCTCTGCAGAGGGTCAAAATTGCGATGGCATGTCTTCGGATCATCCTCAGGGATGTTTACCACTCCGTCGCCAATAGCCCATAGTGCAGCTCCAGTGTTAATAAAGTACCGCTAAAGTGTTAACGTGTTAAAGCACTTAAATATTAAGAAAAAGAATCAGCCAATTTTAGAGAAAATTTTCATTAATATTGGAAGAATAAATTAATTCTCTCTAAATCCAAGCTACCACTTTTATTTAAAAACACTGTCAAGTCCTTACGGAAGTAGCTTATTTGATTCGATCAATTATTATCAGGTGAGGTTTGTATCTCTGGATTTCTTGGAGACAAAAGCAACATTCGGTTTTGGTATCAATTTCCGACTTATTAATAAAGTACAGCTAAATAAAGTACCTAACTACCAAAGAGGCCCCAAACACGGATTAATTTGGTCCAAAATTTTAAAAATAGTAAAAAAATACAGAAAAGGAGGGGTTTTTTTTCTTTTACTTAAACTTATTTTACTTATTAAAACTCAATTTGGACATTAGAAAGTCCTTTTTGTTAGAATTTTTATTAAGATTGAAAAAAAAAAATATATATATATCTAAGTTCTCCTAGTAGACGATACACGGAAATACTATTCGCATAATAATTTAGATATTTTCCACTTCTAATTTAACGAGTTCAATGTCCTGAAATTTCAAAACAGCACGCCAGGTGGTTTTAGCACTGCTATATCCACTATATTTAGAAAGTTTCACAACTTCTGCATTTCTTTCGAATAGCTTTTATGAAACAAACTCTCAGTTTTAAAGATGAAAAATCATTCCTTGCATGATGGAAATAGGTAATAAATCATAATTTCTAATCTCGAGAGAAAAGGTAGTATGCAGTTAATATGCAGTTAACAATTTCCTCACGAGCCAAAAATTCGATAACAGGAAGTGTTCTTGACGTCATTGGCACGACAGAAATCTGATTTGATACCGTGTAAAATTAAAAGGGTTGTCTTTAACCGCATAATTTAAACAAGGATAAATTGCTTCACGCATTGGGGACCTGGGAAATTGGCGGAATTCTAGTACTGCTTTCAGGAAACCTAGCCAAAAATAAAACAACCCCCCCTCCCTCCGGTCACTATGGTAATCCCTGGTAAAACTCTCTTCTCTCACCGAATCAATACGGAGCGAGAAAATGAGTTTTGTGTTGTCATTTTTCACTTTACCTGACTGGTAGTCGGATGTGTTTACTGGTTATGTCTGAACTGAACAAATGAGACATTTTTGAATATGCAGTAAGTAAACGATTTCATACCTTCTATTATGTATGATTTTTTATGGATTATAATCCATAAAAAATATATTCCCAGGGATATATTTCAATCATTATAATCCATAAAAATATATTATGGGAATATATTCCCAGGGATATATTTCAATGATTATAATCCATAAAAATATATTATGGGAATATATTTCCAGGTTCATATAGGTTCAAATTTCATGCATTAAGGATTACAACTCCTCCAGTTTTTGCAAAAAGATTTCATTAAGCGGTAGAAAAATAGTAAGTAAAATGTAAAAACAACTATACAGTTAAAAACTAAAATGAAAAAACATCTACATAGTTAAAAAACTAAAATGTAAAATCAACTATACAGTTAAAACTAAAAAGTAAAAACAACTAAATCAATTAAATGTAAACACTAAAAACAACTATAATGTAAATACTAAAATGTAAAAACAACTATATAGTTTAAAACTAAAGTGTTAAAGCAACTATATAGTTTAAAACTAAAATGTAAAAACAATTATATAGTTAAAAAATAAAAAGATGTAAAAACAACTATATAGTTAAAAACTAATTTGTAAAAACAACTGCGTAGTTGAAAACTAAAATGCAAAAACAACTATATAGTTTAAAACTAAAATGTAAAAACAACTATATAGTTTAAAACTAAAATGTAAGAACAACTATATAGTTTAAAACTAAAATGCAAAAACAACTATAGTTTAAAACTAAAATGTAAAAACAATTATATAGTTTAAAGCTAAAATGTCAAAGCAACTATATAGTTTAAAACTAAAATGTAAAAACAACTATATAGTTAAAAAAATAAAAATAAGATGTAAAAACAACTATATAGTTAAAAATTAATTTGTAAAAACAACTATATAGTTAAAAACTAATTTGTAAAAACAACTGCATGGTTAAAAACTAAAATGCAAAAACAACTATATAGTTTAAAACTAAAATGTAAAAACAACAATATAGTTTAAAACTAAAATGTAAAAACAACAATATAGTTTAAAACTAAAATGCAAAAACAACTATAGTTTAAAACTAAAATGTAAAAACAACTATAGAGTTTAAAACTAAAATGTGAAAACAACTATATAGTTTAAAACGAAAGTAAAAAAGAACGATATAGTTTAAAACGAAATAAAAAAGAACGATATAGTTTAAAACGAAAGTAAAAAAGAACGATATAGTTTAAAAAAAATGTGAATATAATACTAAACTGTATATAGTATAGCACGTTTTCATATATATTGGAAGTATTTATTGATAAAATGTAACCGAACTACAAAAAATAACGTAATATACTTATTCAACCGTAAAATGCTTTTAATATGTACTTTAACGTTTATTCACTGGTGGTAAAGCCGGTAAAAAAACACGTTTTTTTACTATTAAATTAGATTTATTAAAAATGACACCGGCATTTTTGGTGATCATCCCCTATAAAAATAACTTTTCTCCCGCATGTTTTCTTTCCTGCAATCATATTTCGATGTATGAACGCTTTGTAAGGTATTATCATTTGTTTTTTAATGTTGTCTTGTGATACAGAGAATAATATTTGTAGAAACCCCTAACCATTTTAAGTCTTCTTTTAAAAAGCACAAAAGCTAGTCAAAAAACTGCTTGAAACTTTTTAAATTTTTAAGATATTTGAATTGGATTTTTTCATTAATTGCCAAATACGACTCGCTACAAATACTTTAAAATTCAAGTCTGCCGAAGTTAAATAAAGAGAAAACAAGGGAATTTAATTAATAAAAAAAACAATTGGCTGAAAACAGAAATAAAACAAATCCAAACTGAACTTACTGAGCTATAGCAATATTCAAGAAGATTCAACTTGGAAATAGCAAACTTACCTGGAATACAAAATGAAGAGATAGAGCCATTTTGCCAACAGTCTTACAAATGCTTGATGTAGACTTAGAAAATCAAGTTTCAATTGCTCAACATCGTGTACTTTCAACCAAAAAGACAAACCTAAGCCCATCGTAGTTTAATTCAACAATAAATATAGCAGAGATGTATACGTTTAAAGCTGCAAAACTTAAAGAACAACTGATATTAACGAAAGATATGTAAATTATGCCGATTTTCTTCAACGTGCACTTAACTCCAGAGCTTAAAAACTTCTTATTTCTTAGTCGAAAGTTCTGACCAGAAAAAAATTGCGCGTTCTGTTTGCACTGGTTATAGAAAAATCTTTGAAACTGAGTTTTCCAAACTGTATGGTATCACAAATATTAATGATTTCAATGGTACTATTTCGGAATAATTTAAGTACAGCTATCTTGGGGTACAGCCTGATGATTGAGTAAAATTGAACTCCTTGGATAAATTTAAGCAATTTTATTATATGTTTATAATTTCAATAGAAATTTAAGTATTGTACATTATAATAAACGTACTATTAGATCTAATTTTGATAAACCACCAGTAAGTTTGAATTATTGCATTTAGATATTTTAATTTTATCTGAACATAGATATTTCAATTTTATATGAAATAAAGATTTAGGACAATGAATCTTTTCCCCATAATATTTTATTTTATAACCGTCGTTGAACAGCCGACCCAATTTTTGGGCTTACGACTACTAATGGTCAACTCCGTGGCCTTGTAATTTTGAACCCAATCCAGAAGACAAAAGAACTCCTGGATCAAGTAATAGGAGAAATTTGCCTCCGTGGAGGACTTTTTGATAGAACTAACCCTCATTTGCGTTACATGGAGAGGAAGACCACGAGAAACACCCACTGTCGGCCTGACGGCAAGCGGACTCTAACCCATGATCCGTCTACCACTGAGGATATTTCACGTAAGCACTGTGGTTGGTGCATGCCGGATGCGACCAACCATCGCTGGGATTCGAGCCCATTCACCTCATTGGAAGACGAATGTGTTTCCCAAACTTATGACTTTTGTGTACCCTTTCTAAATATTTTGTACCGCTGTGTACCACTAATAAAAAAAATGAATGCATTTTTTATTATAAAAAAAGTGCCCTATAGTTAAAAATCACAACTGGCTGTTGACACCCCTAGTTATTAACTGTTAACTCTGCAAAAAATAGCCAATAGAAAAATATGCAATTGTAAATTTTCATGACTAGCTTTGTTTTTAAATCAAAAATTTTTGAAATTTTCGTTTGTTGTAAGATATTTCGCATAAGAACGCGTACCCCCGCACTTTGGGAAACACTGCCCTAAAGCTATCACGGCTCTCCTCTAATATTTGTAATTTTAAATCTTATTTTTACTGCCGTGAAATAAATAAATCTAGTGATGTAGTAGTTTTTGTGAGAAATAATTTAGATCCTTCGCGAAATATTGAGTTTTCTATGATTTCTGCAGAATCTATTTTAACCTACAGTGAAGATATTAAACTTTAAATTATTTGATGTTAACAATTTTACTAGTGAGTTATCCGAGAAAATCAGAAGTTTTAAAAATGATAGAAACTACGAGGGCTGTTTTTTAAGTAAGGGCCGTTTTGTTGTGTACACTAATAGGTGACGCGTGCGCCGCAACGAGTGCAATCGTCGTGTACTGGCATTCCTTGAGAGCAACTGTGCTCGGTTACAGCTGCGTAGGTAACCTGTACGGTCAGTTTTGTGTCTTTAAAATGTTCAAGCTTAACAAATCGCCCGCCGCGTGCGAGGTTCGGTCAGTGATGCGTTTTTAGTCGACAAAAAAGCCTGTCCGCTGCATACACTCACCTACAGATTTGCGAAGTTTACGTATAGTTTGTCTAAAATAAGAACTCCACCAGACATTCGTCTCGACCTGTGGCGGTGACAATATGGTAACGAGGTATGACTATTTCAAGTAGGGGTGCGGGGTCACTGTTTTGGAGTGATTTCAGCTTGGGACGTTTAGGGAAAGGAAATCTCTTTCTTCGGTCTATTGTGTTAGTCCTAGAGTGAAACTACCCTCCCTAAAATGCGCCATTCCTATTTCCATAGCACCAGACGTCCTCAGACTTTGTGGCTGGAGGAGTTGTTAGCTTAGACAAACTATAGCTTCCTACTGTTATGCTTACAGGAAATTTTGCTACTCCATGACGATGATTCTCTCCATAGCTCAGTCCCGAGCACCTTTAGCTGGGAAGTTTTGGACCACCTCTCAATACAGCCCAGACCTTGCGCAAAGTGATTTTTTATCTTTTCCGATATTTCAAACATTATTTTGGCGACAACCAGTACAACGATGATGACGAAGATGCGAAAACTGTCGTGACCTCTTGGTAATCGGAGCAAGCGGTAACTTATTATGAAGAGGGTATTCTAAATCTAGTTGTAAGGTAGGATAAGTGTTTAAGCAAACTTGGGAACTATTTTAAAAGGAAGAGATACGTATGTAGAATCAAAAAGTAAATTTGCTTCGTAAAATTTTTTCTTTCGTTCGTATTTTATTTTCCTCTGATGGCCCTTATTTCAGGAGATACAAATATTGACACTTTATCTCGTAACTCACTTGTAAGTGATTATATCTTATTACTATTGCTTGTAAGTAATTATTTATAAGGCATTCTTATCTCTCATAAGCAAAATTACTCTTCCCAATTCTAAATCGTGCATTGAGCATATCTTTTTCAGAAACATGCTGGACATCCTTATTTATCCAACTGTTTTCAGAGCTGACGTTACTGGTCACTTTTCGGTTATTTATAAATTACCATCAATAAATCTCAGGAATATTGTATCAAATAATTTTATTTATTCTAAAATTGATAGTGATGCTGTAACGCAATGCATGTCTACTTAATTCATTTAAAATTGATTTTGTAAAGTTAAATAATTTGTGTTCTCATTTTCAATTCAAAACATTGTGAACAACTTTAATTCGGCTCGCAAAATTTTAAAAAAAAAAAAAACTGGGAATAAAAAATGGCTAGATGATAAAATCTTAATTTAGATTAAAATAAAAACTATCGAAAACGCAAAAGATTTCTTTTCGAAAGCGTATATAAACTAATTTACAAATCCATTGTTAAACAATTCAAAGAAATTATAATTTGCTAAATTAAATTTTTTCATTAAGAAATTTTCCGAATGTATTTATGTGAAAAAGCAAAACCTTACGTAAAAGAGCAATCGCTTTTATCTTTGTTAAAATATAATTAAATTTTGTGTGTGTGATGTTCAGCTATTTTTACAGAAGTTTGCAAGTCCCCCATGGACTGATCGTTAAGAGACGGTTCCCAGCAGATCACCGAAGTCAAGCATCACTGGCTGCGGTCAGTGTGCGGATGGGTGACCACTTGGATCAGCCTGCGTAGGGACCGAGGGTGTGCGGTATGGGTCCTCGTTAAACTGTGCTACCGTAAAGTGCTCGACTTCGCGCGCAGGTCGTCGGGCTACCGAAGCGAGGGTGCCATTCCCTCCGCAGAGGATCAAAATTGTGATGGCATGTCTTCGGATCATCCTCCGGGATGTTTCCCAGACCGTCGCCTATAGCCCATTGTGCAGTTCTAGTGCGACGAAAATTAACAACAATAACAATAACAGAAGTTTGCAAAGACTGGTAAGAACCAAATGCTTTGGGGGGGGGGGAATGTTAAGTTTCCAAGTTAAGGCCGGGATAGCATGATCGGTAGGGCGCTGGCCCCATATCCAAGACGTCGTGGGTTCGATCCTCGCCGGCCGAAGACTCCCCGTGTAGTAAATGGTGACTGATGCACGTTAAATCTGTCGAGTCTCAAAGTCCTCCATGTTCCCACAACAAATCAATACCTCTGGGGGTACTGATCCAGGAGTTTCCTTGTCTTCTGGATTGGTTCAAAATTTCAAGGCTACGGAGTTGAACGTAAGTAGTCGTAAACCCATGAAATTTGGGTCGGCTGTTCAACGACAGTTATAAAGTTTCCAAGTTAGGAAACTAAGCATGGAAATTTTGATTAGCTTCTGATCTTTCACCAAAACCTGGTATTTTGCTATCAAAGAAATATTTACTAGATAAGAAAGAAAAAACATTTCAATGTTTCTGTTTATTTTTTGAATTCCTATCAGAAAAACTAATTATATTTTAACCATAAAACTTTTAATTACTGAAATAAAAACTTTTTAAACGTGAACAAAAAAAACAAACTGATATAAGTTTATTTTTTCACAAAACATGTAGGAATTCCTAAGTTCATTAGGTGAAATAAAAGTGTAATCAGGTTTAAAGTGAACTACATTCCTGACATCCAATAAAGTAAAACAATAAGTTTTATTTACTGCGCTTAAGCTGCAAGTAAATAGAACTCATAAAATAAGTTCAAAAAATAAAGAAAACAAGGGGGAAATTACAGAACAATAAAAGAAGGGGGAAAAATAATTTTAAAAAATATAAATAACAAGAAATCGGAAGGAAAAGAAAAAAAAAACAATACGAAAAAAAATTATAAAATTTTTTTTAAAAATCCGGAAAATAAAAGATATCTCTTCATCCGGATTTTTTTTAAATTTTTGTCATTTTTTTTCTTCTCTACCAGTTTTTTTCACCCTTCTTTCATTGTTCTGTAATTCTTCCCTTGATTTCTCTACTTTTTGATCTTATATATATATATATATATGGTTGACCATGTAAAGCTGAGCACAGATTACGCTAGAGGTTAAAGTTCATCGTTAGACATCCGGTTACTACTTCTGAAATTTCTTACGGTTTTAGGAAGTTTGTTATTGTTTACATTCAGTCAACCATCTATAAACTAGCACTTTCTAAAATAATTAATTGAAAATTGCCCGTTTTTTGATACTTCTTGGATGAAAAGAAGTTTTTTTAGAATATAAATAACAAAGCACTTCATTCGAGAGAAGAACGCGAATTGAGGAAAGATAGTTTTGTTTGCGTATTTTTATTTTATCCATAAATATTCTTTGTAAAATGAATTTTTATTAATTTCAGATAAAAAAGAAATAGACTATCTACGTTTTAGAAAGCACTTTATTCTTCAAAAGAATGGAATTAAAGGTGCCAACAATAGCTTCAACGAGAACATTAACGGACGAAGACAACAGACTATTCGAACGTGCTATTTGCCTCATTAAGCCTAACGCCACCTCTAAATCAGAAGCTATAATATCTATCGTCAAAAACTCTGGTCTCATGCTTCTAAAAAAACGCCGAATGCATTTAAAGCCAGAACAAGTTAGAGATTTTTATTTTAGATCCTTAGACGAAGAGATGAACAAGTATTACAGAGTGTATGAAGAATTGATAGCATCCGAAGGAGGGAAACAGAAACTTCCAGACATCAGAGCTGTAAGCGTACAAAATACAGTTGAGAGCTCGAAGCTAGAGGAATACGTTGCTTTCATGACAAGTGGGCCAATCGAAGTGTATATCGTGGCAGGAAGAGGCACCATTTCGAGATTGCAGCGTTTGATTGGCCCAGAAGATCCGAAATTAGCGAGAATAACAAATCCAAATAGCATCAGGGCAAGATTTGGCGGCGAGTCCATCTTAAGAAACGCTGTGTATGGGAGCACAGACAGCGATCAAGCTGAACAAGAAATAAATTACTTCTTTCCCAGTGAAAAAAACATTAAACAAAAAAATACCAATGAGGGGGCATCTAGTGATTATTTGTCTCAAACTGTCAACCCTACTTTGCTGAAAGGGCTCATGCAACTTTGTCGTCAGAAACCAGACAATCCTTTGGTCTGGCTGGCAGACTGGCTTTTAGCCAATAATCCAAATTCTACTAAAACGTGAATGGAAGTCACATCAAACTGATTAAATTAGACCTAACATTCTAACTGCCAATCTTACTGTGCTGAAGGATTAATATAGTTTTGTCAGAAAATATAAAATTCCTTGATTTGTAGACAGGTTTATCAAGCATGTCAACTACTACATTTTTTGCAAAATATTTTATAGAGTGGTGGACAAATAAACACTAAAGCTTTCAGAATTATGTTAAAATTTCCAAACATTTTAAAATGCTCAACACGAGAGAAAAAAACTGGAATAAAGTACTTTTTAATGTAAACTTTAAATCGGTAGTGGGGAGGAAAATAACTTTAAATCAAATTCTCTAAGCAACGAATCATACCTTAACCCTTTGACTACTAACGGGACTCATTTGTCCCAACAAATGTTTAAAAATTACTAATGGGGTGAAAAGTACTTAGAAACTCATTGTAATATGTCCCAGTCATAGAGTCGAACCAAGTATATATGTTTCATGCGTCAAATATCCCCTAAATGGCGCTAAAGAGTTTCTGGCGTGAAATAGCATTGTGATTTTGCGCTGGGACAGATATATCCCACTAGTATTCTTCATTGGGATTGTTATGTCCATTCATATTTTCTCAAATGAACATAGAAAAAAGAACAATTATGAGTTGTCCCATGTGTAATGTCGGGTTATGCAAAGATTGCTTCATCCTGTATAGTACCATGTAAAAAAAAGTCCATATAATAAATTTTTCTGGAATGTGCTTGTAGTAAGTCGATCACTACAGGTGGGACATATGTATCCCACCATTAAGTACGGCAGGGACATATATGTCCCAGTCTCTAAATTGATAACCGCTTGTCAGAAAATCCCAAATACTAAATTTGCCTTATTTGTGACCTATTTTGTCCTTTTGAATAATAAACGGGACAAATAAAATTATTTTTTTAAAATTCGTAGTCAAAGGGTTAAAATGTAAACTTTGCTACCCCTAGAAAAAACTTTTGCCACAAAGAGTAGAAAGTTAGCACCCCTGGTTATTAGTCCTTAAACATACCTTCAGGAAATATTTTCCTTAGTGGTAGCAAAGGTTACGAGTAAATATTTTAATAAACTAGAATTAATATAATTTTTCTCATCACTACTTACAAATAATTTAATGAGATATATAAAAAGCCATAATGACAAAGGGATCCAATTCCAATTTCATCATTTTCTTTTTGTCCAATGTTCATCTACAAGTTTGAAATAAAATTAATAGTTTTAAATGATATTAGAATAAAATTCTTCAACAGCCTAAACTAACATACTAAACAGTTTGCTAACATTAAATTTTTTTTATCAGTTTCTAAATCAGAAATACAAAAGCTTGCCGTAATCCCAGTAAATGTCTCTAAAAATATTAAATAAATTATCCAAACTTAAAAGGAGAAAACGGATGTTTTTTTACATATACTCACTTCACCCCACCTAAACCTATAACACGAATAGAACTATGGAGAACTTACCAGCTAATTCCATGGGCTCAATGTTGCTAAGATACTCAAATAGCTCAATGTTTACCTTTCTTATTAATTACTTCACACTGATAAACCGCCACTGAATAAAAACTCTTTTCACTTAATCATGCAGAAATAACCAATAGTGCAAAGATTGAATTCGCCCTGCCAGATCAAATCTATATTACAGTACGCATACCTGCTAACTTTCACTCTTTCTGAGAATGGATTTTCAGAGTGGTTGTAAAACAATAAACGAAAAACAATCTGACTCAAAAATATATTTATATTTTGATCTCGTTCAGAGGTGATTGTGAGTCCAAGTCAAAATTCCGGAAAATTTCTTGAGTAAAAAAAAAAAATTATTTAAAATATTTTTTGACTCTGNATTTAAACAAGTTTTTTTTTTTTCTTTTTCTCAATATTTCTTAGTTTACTTAAAATATATTTAAAATTTTACCCATACCTGTACCATTTACACATACCTATGATGACCTGGAGAAGTAATTAAAATTTACAAATATGTCTGTCTTTCTTGAGGTTATGATTATAACAACTATTTACTGATAAAAAAATGAATATTAATCAAGAATATAAGCTTATATAGTATCTCTCTGGCTTTCCCTTACATACAAATAAAATAAACTGTGTTTTTAAGTTCCACCTTTGAAAATTTGATTTCCGGAAACTTCTGTGATCAATGATTTTTTGAAACGTTTGGACCTTCGATCTCCGGAAACTTCCGGATCGCTGTTAGCGAAAAATCCGGAATTTTTCCGGAGCACAATCAGCCCTGCTCGTTGAAATTCGCTTGTGCAAGGATTATTATGCTTTTATATATTTATTATAATTATTTATATGTAGTGGTGGTCAAACTCATTTATAATTATCATTATAATTCAAAAAGTTAATTGGAATAACATGAGTATTGCTACCACTTTAAATATGAAAATAAAATCTTTCGGAAAATCCGGAAGAGTTGGCAGGTATGCAGTATGTATACTAAAATAAAAAATTTATCATTATCAAAAATAGAAATTTCAATAAAAAAACATCACTTGGTGGTGCAATTATAACTTAGCAATTCTATTGACGATATAACTGCGTAGTATTTTATACTGCAGGGCAAAGGGGAGTTTGCAGCAGGAAACCAATTACGTATGATAAACTTCGTTTGATTTATACTAGGACAATTTGCCCTTCGTTCGATTAGTACACATTATCGCTTAATTTTAATTCCACACGCTGTGCATGATTTCTAAAATTAAATTCCATATTCAACTGGTTAAAAATTTCATGTACCACACTTAACAAAAAATACCTTAATAAAATTAAAAAGCTAACTTGTAATTTACACGTCATATAAAATCTGCATTATAGTGTGATTGGTACTAAGGTTTACAAGATACACATAAACAAAAAATGTAAACGTTTCAATATCTATCTTGCAAATACAAAGTTTTTTTATTTTAGCTACTTATTTTAGACATAAGCCAAAGCTAAAAATTAACAGCAAAATTTTAATAAATTTCAGAAAAAGCAGCTTTAGCAATGATTAAGAAGCTACGAGAAAAGAAAACATAATTCTCACTATGTGAGCATCGGTGGCTCAGGGGATAGAGCATTTGTCCCCCAATGATGGGATCTAGGTTCAAACCCTGCTCCCGTCTTGCACCGCCACAGTGCCGATGTAAAACACCGTCAGCGGTAAATGAATCATTGATCTGAATCCCCTTTCCGCCAGGCTAACAATAGGAGGTTATAGTGGTAATGCAAATGTTGGTTAGTTCCATCAAAAAGTTCTCCATGAAAGCTATTTTGTCCCAATGCTTGATCCACGAGTTCTTTTGTTTTCTGGGTTAGGCTCAAAATTAGAAGGCTACAGAGTTGAATATTAATATTTGTAAACCCAAAAATAAGTAATGAAAATTGGGTTATAAATTAAGTATTTAAACAGTAAATAAAATATTTATGTCAATGAGTCTAATGGAAAAAGAGAAAAAAAAGTTAATTCATAATATAAAAAACATTTTATTGTTTGTGAAAAATGTACAAGTACAGTAAAATGCTTATAAACATGGCAAAGTGGAGTATTGATAAATTCATTAAGTACAGTAACATTAAAATGCACAGAAATGAAAATGCATTTCAATAAAATTTGTTGTTTTGCAAAACACATAAAAAAAGGGAAGGAGAATAATGCTAGACTAGAAATGCCATTGGGGCAAATAAATGGCTAAAAAAAATTCATAAAGAAAGTAACAATTTTTAAAAAATTTTGTAGCATATTAAATCACAATATTCCTTCAAAACATTGTTTTACTAAGTCTTAACAACATTTATGTTCTTATTTTTCTTAATAATATTAGGACACTATTTTGCATCTCTTTGAAAGAAAAATTTAAAACTAATTAAAATTTAAAAATTAATTAAATTAGGATTTCATATATTAAGTTACAGTTTTCATTATTGAAGAAACCTTCATATATGAACCATTAAACCAAATAAGCTAGGCTATATTCATGGGTCAACATAGCACATATAGTTTGTTTATGGCAAGAACTCCCCCCGCCACAAAGTCAGAGGCTGTTGCTATGGAAACAAGAATAGCACATTTCAGGGAAGGTAACTTTTCTAGGGCTAACACAATAGACCAAAGATAAAGATTCCTTTTTTCTCGCTGACCAGAGCCAAAACCTTTCCTAAACAGTGACTGCACACCCCTACAGAAATAGTTATATCTCGTTACCATAGTCACCACCAGGGGTCCAGGCGAATGGTATGGGGAGTTCTTATTTTAGACAAACTATAGTGCAGGCTTTTTGCCATGTCACATTACATCGAATAATTATTAATAAAAAATTTTAACATAATAATATGATATAATACATATGATATAAATGTGTAATACTACACATTTAAAAAAATTCAGTCAATTTCATTTTAAATTTCGTTTTAAAGTGCAAAACCATTAAATATTTTTGGCTTATGAACACAGGGAGTGCCAATATTTATTTAACAAAAGTGCGATTTTCATTTGATTTAATGGTCGCACATCACATGCTTGATATTTAGTACATCATTTAAGCAAAATGATCAATATAATAATGAAAGACAAATAGATAATCCGAATAAATACAAACAACAGCTAAAATAATAAACTGTACAAAGTAGTGATTTTCAAGTAACTATCACGTTAACATGCTTTTTGCGTAACATATAATATATCCAAGCCACAAAAGCAAATTGAAAAATGTAAACAATGAAGTGTAAATGTAGATTAGCAAAATGGCAAAAAACATGGAGACAAAGTTAAACAATATAAGCCAACTATGTGAATGAGGAACAGAATACATAACTTGAAAACAATTAAACAATTGAATATACGAATTTCATATATTTTAAAGTATGCTTATAAAACCTTAAGTAAGGAGATCAACAATTAATAGTAAGTTATAAAAAACTAAGTTTAAAGTTATAGGCTCAACCAGAATAAAAAATAGTTTAAAAAAATTTATCGGTATATTTTACGTAATCCTACTATTCACAATTAATATAAATTAATATGATTAGTACACAAGAAAAAAAATATTCTTTCAGATCTGAGCATCAGTTCATAAATCTTATGAAGGAATTCGTTTTCCATGCCCAGATAGCATATTGGGAGATAAGTAGATTAAAAGAAAATTAATTACTGTAGTTAACAAACATTAATTAAAGTTAAGTAGTTAACAA